TTTGAAGGTCATGATCATTTTTTTAAATGGAATTATATGAATTTTTTTACATAATATGATTCCTCTAATTATTCTGCATATAAAAGTATTCGTAACGATATCAAAAAACCAATAGTTTACGAGATATTTTATATTTCATTGTGGCACATATTGACATAAAATATTAAATAATTCGTAAACTATTAATTTTTTGATAACCATACCTTAATACTTTTATGAACAGAATAATGAGATGAATCAATTAGTGGAAAGAAAACACATAGTTGCTTATTTAAAAAATTATCCATTTTGCATACATATTTTTTTATATAATACTTTTATATGCAGAATAATTAGAGGAATCATATTATGTAAAAAAATTCATATAATTCCATTTAAAAAAATGATCATGACCTCCAAATAACCTTGAAAATCGGATTCAAGGTCAAAGTCAATGATACCATTGCGTGTCCCCCTTTGCCCCCTGCAACTTTTGTTTGAAGTATTTTTTTGTATTATGCCTCTATTTCGAGATATTTCCCATTATAGACTCATTTGGTCCACCCTGTATATATACTTAAATTGAAAATCTTAAATATATTTCATTTATTTTTTTGATACAAAAAATAGTTGTTTCGTTCTTGCACAGCCTATGAAGTATTAGCGTCACTGTATATACAGGGTGTATATATAAAATCCCGGACCCCTTAAATATCTTGAAAAGTAATCATTTTTGAGAAAAATGTTTTATACAAAAGTTATAGGGTTAAAAATGATCTATTGACTGACCTTATCAATTTGATCTTGGATGGCGCCACCAAGGTCAAGTTAAGGTCAAATCGATTTTTTTAAACGAAACACCCTATTTTTTATTTTAGAATCTAATAGCTGAGGTCAGGAGCTTTTCAAAATACTATAATAAAGCCTCTTTTTAATCAGTACTTTTCAAGTTATGAGAGTTGAAAGTTACGGAACCGCCGGCATTAGTATTATCTAAGGTATTACGTAGAGATTGCCAGACTGGATTTATGATTATTACTCCTGTCAAGTTCTTTCTGTGATCTGCTATATAAGCTATATTCGATCTATATAAGCTAAATTTTGGGTGTGGAGTGCTCCACGATTCCACACTATAGTTGCCGGGTTTGCTTGTGTTGTCGGCAATATGACAACACAATTGTATGATGTTGCATATTATTATGGCAACATGATGACAGTAGTACGAATTTTGATGATGACGATTTTAAAATTGTCGGCAAACTGCTGGCAAGTTGTTACTCAAAGTTATC